GCCTGTGAAGCAGGAGAGTTCGCTGCGCGGAGGGCCATGGAGCTTCCAGGGGTTTCAGCTCTTCTGTCGGAAGACAGCCTTACTGGCATCTTGCCAGCAAGCGATGAATTCCTTCTGCCATGTTGGTGAGATTGTCAACGGCCTGCGCCTGTCAACCGACGCCTTCAAGGTTTCATGCTGCAAGTTGCAGAGGCACTTGGGATTGCAACTCCTGACCGGCCGCCCAGACAAAGAGTACCGCGAGTTCGAGGGGTACTATTGTCCTATAGCCATGGGAGACACCGGTGCCGCCATCTTCAAGAAATCCACCATTGCATCTCTTGGCGAGCCGAGTAGCTCTCCACCAGCCCGGACATGGCTTTTCAGTTGGAACAAGTTCCAAGCGGTCTGGGAGTTGAGAGTGGAGCAGGCCATGCCGACTGGGTATGTGAACAGCAGCGAGGTTTGGCCTGCAGGCTTGCAGGGGCAGAACTTCTCGGTGACAGCTATCCGAGAATTATCGGCGAGCTACTTGTTGCAGCCCAATCCGGAGGGCCCAATTCCGCAGGCGGAGCCGACGTACCCGAAACTCCAGGACAGTCCGAAGCAAGGTTGGAACGAGTCAACCTGTTGTAGGGAGCTTTTTGTCCCCAGGAGTTCCAGGCGAGCCAACCCGACTATGCCGAGTTCTGTGACCCGATGTTCTTGCAAGCGCCCTCCCTCTACCCCGAATCTCTTGAAGAGAGCCCTGGCCATGCGATCGGGCTTTTCAGTTAGTTTCTCTTTCGATGTTGTTTAGTGTGGAGTTCAATGAAAAGACTACAGCACGAGGTTTACTCTGGGGGAATTAGGCAATGCCATTTGATGCTTCATGTGCTGGTCGGGGAAATTTGGGGAAGTAAGGAGCAACCCCTGCTACCACACCTTCAACGCAGAACCGCCAGTCCAGGGAATGGAGAAGGGAATCACCGAGCAGGCTAAACACTAAAACCCTAAAGATGCTTGCAGACCCTTAGGATGCTGCCTTGCCAAGTCTCCCGAATTGTCAGAAGCCACTCTGCGCCAGGCCTTTTGGTCATGCAGCCAGCGAGAGAGGATCCGAAGCTACATGGACTTATCAACCACGGCAGGAAAGCTGGACTACGAGGCCTGGGAAGCAAACTACGACTTTCAGTCGGTACCTGAGTTCCTGAGTTCCGGTGCCAGCAAACTCACAAACTCAACACCTCACCTGTAGAAGTAACTCTTGCCCCTGAGCGGTGCTGAGGTGGCAGCAAGCGACCGACGGCCTTGAACTGGGGGCCGCGCTGCTCTCCGCCATCCCATGGGGAAACTTCGGCATGAGCGCCACAAAAGCTGTTGAACAGGCGCAGGATGCACTGGCCGCGATTGAAAAAAATGAGCAGGGCAGAATCAAGATCTCGAACAAGATGAGGAAGGACTTTTTGAAGGGATATCTAAAGGGACACGGCATAGGGACATTTGGGACTGGGCTACTTACCGCGAAAGCTATGTCGGACAGGGCAGGGTCCTGGGAGCGTCTTGACCCGCGGACGCACACGAAGTCGCAGATTGCTGGCAACGCCGCGAAGCAGACGTTCTGGAACGTTCTTGGCGGTTTCGGGGACATGACAATCTCGGACCCAGCTCTGCGCTTGTCGGACACGGACACGAAGCTGGGTCAAATTGCACTCTTGCGGAAGGCCGGGTCAGCGCCCCCGAACGCGGAGAACGTGTCGGAGGAGCTCGCTAAGATGACTCTCGGCTCAGTGGGCACATGATGATTGAACTTGAAGCTACGAGAATAGCTAAGGACTATTCCGCGCCTGGAGGATCCCGGACCAGCTGGCTTACCGAAGAACGTCAGAAGTATGAGAGACACGGCCTGGCAGGACTGGAAATGGGGGTACCAACATGGTTCGGGCCACGCAGTGTTCTGCTTCTGACCAACCCTGTGTTGAGTTCCGACGTCATCAGGATCGGCTTGCAGACTTCCAAAGCGCATTTCGTAATGAAAGAATGCAGGGTTTGGAACACACGTGCTCGTAGCAGGACTGCATGCCTTTGCAGTTTGGCCTCTCGAAGGTCGGGTCCTG